CCTTCCTACGCACACTATAGTACCTTCTACTCTTCCTTACCCTAACTACGACCTTCACCCTCGCCACTGTAAAGATACCTGAAACACACATAGTTCAGGTAAAAATAATGGCAGCACAACTTAGATCTCTGGTTAGTTTGGACACTGACATTAGGTTGAACTTAAAGTCAGGCACATGAAGTACATTTTCCAGCTTATCAAAGTCTGACAGAAAAGAACTTCCAATGTGTTCTATTTTTGCACAACCACCATTTGGCAGTGTAACCTTTTCCCTTCTCTTATCAGTTATTCTACTTACACCACTCATCAAGTTCAAATTAGATGATATGTGGTGTGTGGCTCTTGAGTCCACAATCCATACATCTTTCAGACCATTCAAGGCTTCTGCATTAGAGGATAGTGCAGTCCATCTATCTCTTAGTTTATTCAAAGCCTCTATATTACAGGATAATGCAATAGCCTTACCTGCATTATTAGCCATGGTGATTTCACTTGATGAGTCTTTGTTATTGAGCAATCCCAGAATTTGTTGATATTGAGCCTCCGTAAAGAAGTAGTCTCCTTTGGACTGTGTTGCAGCTTGTGAATGTTGAGTTGTTAACCCTTCTACATGGTTAGCTGCAGTCAGTGTTCCTCTATGTTGAACGTGTTTTCTTCCCTTAAAGTTTTCTGGATAGCCAATGATTTTAAAATAATTTTCTTTTGTGTGGCCTTTCATACGACAATGGTCACATTGCAGAAATTGTTTCTTTCCTCTGTATCCCTGTCCTCTGCCAGCTTGCATAGCCAATGGATCTCCTTTATCAGCCATAGAAACACTTCCCAACGACTGTTGACTTTCATCTTGAATGATCAGTGCATATGCTTGATTAAGGGTTGGTTCAGTAGTTTTCATTAAAATCTGCCTACGAGCTTGCTCATAGGTATCATTTAATCCATCTAGAAATTGCATCACCCTTTGTTGATGCAAATGAACCATGTGTTCCTTAGATCTAGGACAACCACGGTCTGGGAATGGTACTAGTACATCATATTCAGCCCATAACTCCTTCAACTTAGTAAAATAAACAGACACAGAATCCGATCCCTGTGATAGTCTAGAGATCGATCTATGCAATTGATAATGCGTACTCGATTCAACTTATCAAAGCGCTCCTTGAGATCCTCCCAGACTGCATGTGCATCCGATGCGTAGATGATCCCACTGAGTAGGTCCTTTGAAACAGAGTTCATTATCCAGGAATGTACTATCGCATTACAAGTCTCCCACTCCTCCAGTAGAGCATCCTTGTACATCTCCTTAGCACATTTTCCTGTCACAAACCCTAGCTTCCTTTTGGCCTTGAGAGCAAGTCGCATCGATCTGCTCCACAGTCCATAGTTCTCTGAGCCTGTAAGCTGAATCGGAATTAGAATCAATCCAGGTGTATCAGAAGGTTGAAGGAAAAGAGGATG